CCCCCCCACCCCACCCCCCCACCACCCACCCCCCACCCCACCCCACTCCGTGTCCTGACAGGGGCACATGACAGAATTATCAATGAAATTAGAAAAATCTTAGGAAAAGCACATGGCCAAATACGCGCGTGTGTGGCCTTAGGGCCTGGACGTCAGGAGAAGCATCCGAACTGCCCACCTCTACTTTCTTGAGGAACCAAAGTGCAATCCGGCCTGAAATGTCCTGTCTGTCCGCAGGCCAAGCACTTCCCGTTGCATCTGAAAACTTATGGGGACTGGGGGCTCCTTGGCAACGGCCGCAACCGCGGCACGTGCCCTCTTAATTATGACTCTGAGAAGCGCTCTCCACCAAGGCTGCTCCTTCACTTTCAGCCTGCAACAATCGTACCAGTAACCCTAGGGTTGTAATCCAGAGCTATGCCATGCCAAAAAGCATTCACCCTGAAAGCGAGCATGGGGTGGCTACTAAGCAAGACGGAAGTAGAGTTATCGACCCCTTTTAGAAGTAATGATGCGTCGGGCGGTGTAGCGTTTATCTCTCCAGCTCTCTGCAACCCCTGCTGCCATGTACGACGAACCCGCACTGAATCAGGGAAGCCAACTGGCCCTTTAAATTTGCTCTCTCAGTACTCCCTCCGGGCTGGTACAAGCAAAGAATCCTAAAGAGGATAGAAGAAACCGACAACCACCGATTCATCACTACATCCTCCTGTACCGAAGATTACCGAAGATCGAAACTGGCTTTGATCGAGGAACTAGAGCTAGGCGGCCTAAGGGATCGGCAGTCAGCCACTTATTGTACGCTTGGCTAGCGGCTACTTCTACAGCATTGAACCACACATCCGTCTTCGGAGACATCCCTGGGAACACTTGCCGAATCTGAGCCAGCCAATAACCACAAACAACAGCACTGTTGGAAAGATCGGTTTGGACCAACTTATACAGGTCCGATATATACTTAGCTGGCTCCTCGGGCTTGTCAACCTCAGCCAGATTTCCGAATCCATTCGGGCTAAGATTGGGCCTAGCATCACTACTGCCGGCACGCGAGGCGACCACGGGCACTCAAGGAGGAGGCTTAATGGTTCTACCCCCGAAAGAAAAAGGGTAGCCGTCAGGAGTGAGATAACCACCGTCGGAAGGTGCGGGATTTGCTGCCGCTCGAAAACTGTCCGTAAACTGTCTCATAAACTGGGGTGCTTCTGGGGTCAACGAAGGCTGAGCAACAGCCAACGTGTCTGGCGGAGGCGGTGGTGGGGGCACAGGTAGAGGCAAAGGTCCCGGGTAACTTCGGCTGCTTCCAGCCTGCGTTTGAGCTGCTTATTTTCTTCAAGCACCTGGCTTAACATAGCCTCCATCCGACCCAACCGATCGGTGTCGGCAGGAACAAGCTCTTGGCCATCCTCCTCAGGGTGACCCAGCTCCTCTGAAACGCTTAACCTCCCTTCAGGCTCCGCTTCGGCCCTCACCCAGGGCAGCAGGCTCCATCACAGGATCACTTTGGACATCACCAAGGGCGGCTTCATTCACCTTTTTGGTAAACCGAAGAGCCTCCTCATCCAAGGCCGCTGGATGCGCTTTCATCACAGCGATCTCCTTCTTAACCCTTTCACTGTGAAAGGGATTCGCCGTTGGGAAAGAAGGGCTCACTGCCCTGCTCGGAGCATCCCCTGATTCCAAAGTTCCAGGCGAAGCTTCTCCTGCCGCCGGGCAGGGTCCAGGCACTCCGTTGGCACCCGAAAGACCCAAGGCTGTTTGATAATCATGCTCTCGCATTGCACTAACCTCCTCTGGCTCACCGGCAGCTCCAGGCGTCCTCTTCCGGATCAAGGAGCCCATGGCCCCGAGGACTACAGAAATCGACACCCTGATGGCTACCTAAGCCCAGTAAAGAACCATTTACGGCTGATAACCTATGTGAGCTAAACCCTAGGATCAACAACCCTACAGATGAATACGTTAAGACATCTTCATCTCAAGCACAGCAAAGATGAGCCCACACCGGGCCTTTTTCCTGGAACAAAAACAGCCTCCAAAAACAAGGATCGTCTCCTGTGCACGGAGGCGATGCTCACGCACAAGGTGGTTGCCTAAGGCTTTCGCTGCCCTTCGGCATGATGCTGCTCTCGAGGAGCCGATCGAAGTTTACTCGGACGCCCCTACGGATCCGATCGCATACTTTTAGCTTCCCGCAGAATCCTTTTTTGCTCGCGGCGAATATCTCGTCTGATGCTTTCGTTCGGAGGAATGCGGAGCGATCGCCAGCTATCTGGTGCGCCCCTCTGGTGATCGGAGCATCCGTGCGGAATGATGAAGATCTGAGATGTTCGAGTTTGGATCTGTGGCCGACTCCCACGTTGCGGTCGCACAAAAACGTCTGGTGCGATCGTTGGCTGTTCAGCGAGTGTCGAGCGGTGTAGATCGTGTAAACTTATGGATACATAGATAGATAGAGATATAGATATACAAGAAGCACATGCATCCATCCATCCATCCACCCACCCATCCATCCATGCATCCGTCCATCCATCCGTCCATCCATCCATCCATCCATCCATCCATCCATCCATCCATCACCCAGCCAGCCAGGTCGATCAAACACATGCGGGATGTTCACCTTGTTTGCAGGCCTTGGACATCTGGCGCATGGAGACCAAGATAGAGGTGCGCGACCCTTGATGCCACAAAGCTTGAGCGTTTACTCTTGCCCTGCACCCGGCAGGTCTTGTTCGAGGAAGTCTTCAAGATCCTGCCACAAGCTTGGCCGCCTCAGGATGAAGACGAGGACGAAGACGTCGGGCAGCAAGGCGGCTTGGCGGTTTCAGACTCGGGGGGCGAACAAAAAGGCGAAGAGGTGAAAGTTGCTGCAGGTCGGCTTTCTGTTTGGGTTTCCCGCCCGCAGCCCGTGACCGTTGCAGCTACGCGTGCACGGAGTGCGCAGCCTCTACGACCCGGCTTGAATTCAGAGACTTCATATAGATATCAGCAGGACGAGCAGGTGCCACCAAATGGCAATGGCAAGCGATTTCGACACGTCACCGAAGCGATGCAGCGCGCAGGAATCGAAGGTGCCAAGGCCTTCGAATGTGCTAGGCTGCGAGGCATCGAGAAAAAATGAAAAAGAGAGGGAAGAGGCAGAGGGAGCGCGCAGTTGTGTCTCGCTGCCAGGTTCGGGTCACTGCAGCGTGAGTTCCACGCCGAGGAAGACGACCAGCGTCCAGGAGCCCGTCCGACCAGTGCACACCCCTGACAGCACTGTAGAGTCTGCAGAGAGTCCAAAAATAGGGGGTTCCGAGGCCAGTCTGGCGGTTTCGGCTCCGTCGAGTTGAGAAACGCCACTTTTGCCATGCCTAGTTCAGGGCTAACCCACAGGTCGGGGCTCAGATCTCTTCCGAGCCTCTTGAAAGCGCCTTGGAGGATGTCTTCAACAACTCCTCCTTCAAGCACATTCGCACAACCAGCATGCGCAATGCCGATTCCTGCAGCTTGCCTGAACTGAACTTCTTTGGCACTGCGATGTTCAGTGTCGTGTTGCGATGTTTCCAACATGCCGGAGTGTCAGGAGTGGCTGGCGAATTCACATTTTCGTAGAAAGCCAGGGCCGTCCTATCGGTTTTCGGTTTCTGTTGATAGTGGGCGTGTTCAATCCTGGCCACCAAGGATGTCTGGCTGGAGCCACCCGGCATGGGTATGTTTGTCGTCATCCCTGAGCGGGTTTCGCTTGCCGTTGACTTCACACACTCCGACTCCTCAAGGGCAGTTGACTGTGAGCAAATGAGCAGATCGACTCTCCACCCCTGCTCCAGGTGACGCTCCACAACTTGCATGGGACGAAGAGTTGGAGTTTGGACCATCTTGACACAGCCAGGCGCGCGGCGCGCTTTTTCAATGCCCGAAGGGCATGGAAAGTCAAACCCTCGAGCAAACGGTTTGTTCTGCCAGCTATGGCTGGCATCGTACGTCGAAGCCCTGAAGGGGCCTGCGCTGTGCAATCTGTTCTACACCAGTTTGGCAGGCTGTTGGAGCCAGGTGCACGGTGTGTCTCTGTTCCGACTGATGACGGCTTTTCAGCCGGGGATGGCTCGAACCAGCCTGCACAAGTTGTACTTTATCGTCAGAAGATCTTCGAAGCCCGACCGCCACGGCTCGGAACTCAAGTGCTCACCGAGACACCCAAATTTGATTGTACAGAAGTCGAAGGGAAGAGCTCTTGGTGCTTCTCTTCTGCGCCTGGCCAAGCATTGTCAGTCTGCTGACGGATTGCGTTTGCAGAATTTGTCATGCAAAGGTGGAGGCTGGCTGAGTACGCAGGGAGGGAGAGGGAGGGATAGAGAGAGAGAGAGAGATCGAGGCATGGCAGAGCGAGAGAGGCGTTAGCATTACAAGCTCCAGTCATAACGCAAGAAAGCCAGATCGAACTATCGGAATAGGAGTTGCCGCCGTGCGGGAGACTTTTTTTGGATATCTAGGCTGCAATGAGGTTGTGATGCCGTCCACGAGGCAAACTAGAACTGAGAGGTTGCCAGGTCTCCAAGCACGCTATAAAAGGCTGTATGAAAGACTTTATAGGAATTCAGAAAGCCTCGATAGCGCAGGGGGGGAAATCCGCTCCAAGCTGTTGCGCAGTAAACGGGCACATTGAATCCATTGAATCGAAGCCTGCAGCGCCCCGAGAGCAATGCAGTCCCATCGTTTGCTCAGCTGGCTAACCTATGCCTCGACACGATCAGGTTCCAGAGAGTTTTGTTGTGGCAACGTCTTGGCCGCTCGCCAAAGTTGCCGGAGATGATGGGTAGAGTAGCAAGCAGAAGCTGTTCTGCGCTTGCAAAGCTCTCTGTTTGCTCGTAATTTTGCTGCTAACGTGGGTGCCTATCCTCTAGGTGAAAGCCGTCGGTGATTCGGGTGCAGTCCCTGGATAGCTTACTGGCTTTCTTGTGCAAGTTGCACAGATCCTAGCCCGCGCTTCCGTCAAAGAGGCTGCAGAGTTTCTGAGGGTTCTGCAATTTAGGGTGCATTTATAGCTCTTTGGGGTCATTTGGGGATGGAGCCTTGGGTTCCCGTCTCTACTGGTATGAGCTCATTCCAAGCGCAAAGTGATTAAAGCCACTCCCAGCGATACCCTCTGAGCCGTGACATATCATGTTGACTCAGTGACTCTACTTTTCGGAGTTTGGAAACGTATGATGTCTCGGAGAGTGACAAGAACCACTCAGACGAAGACGCAGAACACCGTGTCGGGCACAGGAGTAAGGGGCGGGTTTCCTTGCTTGGACGGAGGGGATGCCTCTTTCCAGTTTGCTGGCTGGAATGTCTTGCCTTTGCCTTCGTAGCACCCAAACCTTGCTTGCCACACATGCTATAGTAATCCAATGCCCCCTCCCCTCGCAGTGTGAAGAACTCGCTGAGCCTTCCCATTTCCAGCTGCCAGCACCTCCGAAGCAAAGCGAATTCGATACTTCCGACTCGAAGGCAAGAGAGACAGCCCACAGCCCACCAACCGAAGCAAAAAGTAGACGAAGTAGGCGAAGTAGACGCTGCGACCCTGTCATGAGCACCTTAGCTCGGCCTCGTTTCGGGCCACTGGCGGCAGTGAAGCAGGAGAAGCCGGACTCGCCAGGCCAGGCTCTCCGAATCCCTGAAATCCTCGCGGAATTCCTCGAGATTGTGGCAGTTTTTTGGCGCGGATTGTTTTTGCTCTCCTGCCCTGGAGGTCTCAAACCCGACGCCTTGACCGCGGTCCAAGAGGACTGCAGCTGACTTCAGATATGGGGAAGCCCCGAAAAGAAGGCGGCGGGCCGATCAGACTCAGAAAGCTCTGAAAGCAGAGCGGAGCGGAAGCCGCTCCCAATTCGGGGGTCGGCGCTGGAGCGGCCCAGGCCCAGGCTCAAGAAGAACCCAAGGGCGGCTTCCAAGAGAGGCCTCTGCAGAGGTTAACCGCCCCCTTGGCTGGCATCTGCCAAGTGCCGGTCAACTGCGTCAAACGGATTGGCCATGTTTGCACACCTACATAGACACGGGTGCCTACACGGTTGCCTTGGAAAAGGCCATAACCTTGAGGAGTGATGATCACACCCAGCAGGCCTGACGATTACAACTCATGGACAGTGTAGAAGTTGCAGAGGGGGTTTATGGACACGCCAGGCCTTTTGAGTTGCTGTCGGAATGCTACTGTTCATTTAACCTGTTCAGCTGTTCTCTGGCTTGGTGCTGTGTTCCTTTCGATCCGGAGTATGAAGCAGATTCACGTCGAGTTCTTTTTCGGTAGTTTGGTCTGTTACCGGCAACTTGCTAACGAGATATATCATGCGATCTACGCTCATGTAGTAGACACGCCGACCACATTAAATGAGGTCGGGTATTTTGAGCTCAGGCACAGGGTTCCAGAAGCACATGTTGATGGCAGATGGCGGGAGAATTTCGAGTCTGCCTTCTGCCTTTGAAGGATGTCTCCGACTTGCCAGTCGAGCTTCCCAGGCAGGGATCGGAAGCTGTCACGGGACGTCCTTCCATTGCCAGCGTTTGCGTTTGGCACGCTGATGCGGAGATGAAGGGGGGAATGTCGAGTAAGCTCCAACTCGCAAACCGCTCGGCAGGGCGCTTCGCACAGTGGTGGAGACCTCCATCGAGTTCCAACAGCTTATTGACAAGCTGGTCCAGCAGCACGACCCGCGGCTGAAGTCCGGTACTCCTTGAAGAGTCGAGCTTTGACCACATGCAGTCTGCTTCCAAAACTACTCCCATGAAACGGCCGCGTGCCGCATGCTCGACCCATGGTCGTTTTTCGCCTGCCTCGACTCGTCGCTGTCGCTCGCTGTCGCTCGCTGTCGCTCGCTGTCGCTCGCTGTCGCTCTGCTCTGCCGGCTCGAGGCTCGAGAACTTCAAGCAGCACTTGCTCGGACTCCTACATCCTCGGGTCCTCCAGCGCTTCTGACGCTTGCCGAGCGGGCCAAAGGGGCCTGGTTCAGAGTGGGGACGGCATGTCTCGTTCCGGGTTGTTTCGGGATGCTGGATACTGTGTCATCACTGTGCTAATAGAAGTTCCGAAACTTCACCTGCCCCTACCTGATGTCGCATTTCCCCCGGCAGAGGGAAAACGCTTTGCAGGGGTCTTCGCAGCACGTTCTGTCGACTCAAGCGTCACAGGGTGTGCCCGTCCTGTCTGAATGTCCTTAGCTGCTGTTTCGCTACGACGGGGCTGTGAAGCTGCACGGTACCAAAGTGCGAGTTCAAACCTGCAGCCTGCTTGTAAATCTGAGGACATCTGCGGACCTTGGGTTGGCCTCGAAAGATACCCTGAACTTTGGCAACCAGCTGAGAGGATTGGAGGGATGTTCATGGATGGCTGATTGCCTAGTTGGGGTACTGGCCGTGCCGATTTGACCGGACGGTGCTGTTGCCGCTGTTTTCTCTTCAGAGCTTCATCGAACAAGCAGACGCGTTGGGAGATCTGCAGAGCATCATTCGGAAACGGAATAACTCGGACGTCCTTCTCATCTCGTTTGGAGTCATTGATCTCACAAAATTCAGAAAGAGCTAGACGCCCCCATCCAGTCCAATACTGTTTGGGATTGACATACTTCCAATCCTTATGCCTATGAGTATGAAAATCCAGTAAGACAGGACCTTGATTTATTAGAGGCCTATTTTCTGATAATCCCTGTGCAGTCACAGTATATGATATATTGTACTAGGGTCGTCTTGTTAATACTACAGGCCCGCCCTTACATTACCAGCCTCCAGCAACGTCTGCTAGGAAGAACTCCAGCGGCTTCCCGTTCGTTTTGATCCCTGTACAACAGGCGATGCTAACTGTGTCCCCTCAGGAAGTACCTGCCAAAGAACTGTGACGAAGTCTGATTCCATTTTGCTGCTCTGACCCAAACCTAACCTGATTTGAGTACTCCGTAGTAGCCCGGAACCTGGAACCCAGCCCGTGGCCTTACTGAGTCTACAGTTCACTCCTTTCTCCTCTCGTCTCGTCAGGCCATGGAGCGCATGATGTGGCTCGGCGGCTCCCAAGCAGTCCACTCTGCTCTTCCGGCTTTTCTCCTGCTCTTCCTCTTCTGTAAGACGCAGAGTCTGACATGCCGGCTCTCCCCCGACTCCCCGGAGCTCCGAGGTCCCCGCTGTCGAACGCCTCGAACATCTCGCAGTCCAGGCGACGGCAGTGCTCGACTGGGGCCCCCTTGCGGCAGAGCTGTGTCGGCCGCCTTTCTGGGAATTTTCCCCTCAGCAAGGTTCGGGTCAACGCCAACATGATCCTCGAAGCTTGGGAGCGGCAGGAGCACTTGCCCCCATTGCCTTATCTCGGCGAGGTTGAGCCTCCGTGGGTCTACGTTTCGGCTTTGCGGTTTAGCTAGGACCAGGAGACCTGACTCGGGGGCGGCAGAAGCCAGGTGCTTCAGAGATGAGACCACAAGCATGCCCAGAAGAGGAGGAGGCCAAGCGGCAAACCGCGTTGCCTGCTTCCGAGGAGTCGCAGGATGACTCCTTGCTGCAAGTGGAGGCTCGAATCTCATCTGGGCCCCTCGGCACGGCTCATGACCGTGCACCTACGGGGCTTCCAAAGATCAGGCACACCTCAACCTGACAGAGATTTCGGTGGTCAGTGGATGCCGTGTGAGCAGACCTTGTCCAGTCACTTGAGTTGAAACCGGCTTGCAACATGCACAAAAACGCACGCCGTGCTGCAAGTGGATCGTGCTGTCCCTGCAATGTTCGCTAAGAAAAGAATATGGTAGAGCGAAACGCAGCTTAGGACATCGCGACAAAACCTAGTGAATTCAGGCAGAGCTCTGAGCCGGCATCCCAGGTACCGGCCCGGAGCGAACCCGAGAGCGAACACGACGGAACAAGTGAAGATGTGTGGATTCGCAGCTTGGCGAACTTAGACCGGGTTTGGGGCTGCCAAGCACGTTTTTGGGGGCACGCTTGAAGTTGCGCTATGCCTTTGGCGGCCAATAGCCCAGTAGCCCGCTGTTTTCACGCCGGGCCTCAGGCCGACTGTCTTGAAAGCCATGGGTTGTCGAAGTCTAGGCATGGTGAGGTCATTTGCAGATATGCTAGCCTGTGCAAAACGAGCGCAGTCGGCCAAAGCATCTCGTCCAGGAATGGCTTCGTGACCGTTGCGAATCGTCAGCCTACGCTGTGTGCTGGCTGAGAAACAGTCTGGGCTCTCGGGAAGATTCGATTCGAGTCCGGGCAGACCTCTCCGCCCAACGTGAAACTAAGGCTTGTGCTTCGTTGCTGCTCTTGGCAAACTTTCTGTGGAGGGCATGTACCCTGCAAGTCTGGGGCCATATTGCCGCCTATGAGCCTCTCGGCGACTTTGGGGCTCTGACGTTCTCATCTTGCTAGGAATCCATCGGCAAAATTGGGAAAGGACTTAGATTTCCTAAGCCATCGCGAGTGGTCTGTTGAAACCTTCTGATACTGTCCCCACAGCGAGACCACAGGCTTGGCTTGAGTCCTGTGAGCGTCGACATCAGCGCAGATGCTTGGAACACCCTGCTCAGAGTAGCTGGGCTGCCCTTGGTGTGCACAGATGCTTCATGTTATTTTGTCCCATTGCTGTCATCATTCAATTGGAAGGGAGCGTGCACACCTCCTGAGCATGAGAGGTTGGGGATGGCGGCTTTGCCATCCTGTTCCTGATGGACTTCCTGTTGCGGGCGGCCATACTAAGACGCAGGTTTTGGCATCTTGGCTTTGAATTTCTGTAGGGATGCAGACACAGGACTGGGGACAAGGCTAGAGATGTTCTCTTGAGGCGAAGCTGGCTGAATTGGGTGGATGCGGCAGTTGGTGTCATGTGCATCGTGGAGATCACGTGGCTGGCGCTCGAGGGCACGACTTCTCGAGATATTTCCTTCGTACATGTCTTCTTCGTTGCCAGAATCGCTCGAGCCGGAAGGCTGATCAAGGAGACGGTTCAATTCACCAATCTGCAGCTCTTGGTGAAATGTTTGATCGCCAGCAAGGGTATGTTGACCTGGTCCTTTATGCTGCTCGCCGTGTTCCAGTTCATGGCCGCAATATTCCTCGGCTTGCTTGTGGAGCACTACCTCTTGCACGATGGTGCAGCTCCGGTGCAAGCGAAAGAAGAAGTATTCAGATATTATGGCACGTTCACTCGTACTTATTTGACGACCTTTGAAATAATGTTCGCAAACTGGGCCCCGCAGCTTGGCTGGACCTTGCATGGTTAGCTGGTTTATAATCTATACTGGTCTTCCAATACCACGAGTTTTTTCTGATTTTTTCTAGCTGAATTTGAGGTCGTGTCGCATTCTCGTAGACAATATCAGCGAGTGGTTCACCGTCTTCTTCCTGGTCTACCGCTGCTTTTCTTCGCTACTTCTGTGGGTAGAGGGTCAGTTAGTTGATCAACTTTGGGCTGTCATGCTGGAGTTTTGAGCAGATACAGGCTGCATTTTTGGCTTCGCTGTGCTGAACGTCGCCCCGTGGCTTCAAGCGAGAGCTCACCGCGGCATAGGCACAGGCCTTGAGGGAGGATGTATCGTAGCTGCTTGTGCAAACAGGATCTGATTTCTGCAGCTGCAGCTGTCTTCTGCATGAGTCCTTCACGGTCCGGTTTCCGGTCTGGCACTTGCGGGCCGAGGTGTCTGCAGTGTTCATTCAGCAAACGATGAAGACAGCTTCGTCTGATGAAGAGCTTGCTTTCCGTCAGAAGGACCGGGCTATTCCGAAACACAAAGTGATGGTGCTAATCATTGGCCTTGTCCTTGAAGGGTACCCGAGAAATCTAATTCAAAATCAATCTCTCGTTATGCATATCTGCATGCCCCTTCGAACTGCACCACATTGAAAAGGGGAGCTGAACAGAAGCGAGGTTTTCGCGCCTAGACCGGGGAGAGCACGGGTCGCCGCCAAGTTTGTGCGAAGCCCTGAGAGGAGAAGGACATCATGCTCTACAATCGCAAGGCCTGGAGCTCAAGCTTCGGTACAGTTTCCGGGCTCTGTGTTCCATGGATTCCATAGGTGAAGAAGCTCTTCCAGTCGATCGACAGTTCGGGAGACGGCAACATCAACTTGGAGGAGAGCTTCCCCCTCCAGGGTCGCGACAGGGGATTCCAAGCACCCCGTCTTTCGAGGAGTTTGAGAAATTGGTCCAGTCACCGAAGCTGCGCTTCTGGATGGCACAGCTGGAGTGGCTTGGGCTGCATCGGGCCGGCTTGAGGCATCAAGGTGGGCTGAGATTCTAAGATCACCTTTCCGGAACGTTGCTTTCGAAAGGAAGGTTGCTGACTCGACAGACTCTCCACAGTTAAGTTCGGCATCCAATCTGCTGATGTTTCAGGAGAGCCGGATGGCTCGCGTATCTACGTTACACATGTTGCCCCCGTGCGCCCACCCCACTACCAAGCTTGAGAGTGTTTTCCAAGCTTGCCCGTGAAACGTGTCGTGCCATGAAAGGTTAAGGTATGCCATGATAACCCTAACCCCCGTCGGCGGAATCGAGCTGTGAAGCTGTGAGGCTGGAGTACCATGACTTGATGAGCCTCTTCGAAGCTGGGTTCTGCAGCACCGCACTGCTTTGCCTTTGCTTGGATCGTTTAGGTCCTTAAGTCTAGGTGGAACCGGTTTGAAGGAAGAGTTCGGGCAGCTGTCTCGGCTTCCCCACCAAGGAGTTTCTGGACAACGGAGATGGCAACATCACGTTCCTTTGCGATGAGATAGCCTTTGTGGATCGGGATGTTCACGAAGTCGGCTTTTGGCATTCAGCTTAGCTGTGAGAGCAAAGGAAGCATGCACTACCTTTGAACCTGGGTGCACTTCTCGGTATTGAAAAGTCTTGAGAGGCATGCTCTGCCCGAGGGGCCATACCCGCTGCAGTTTTCCCGAGGCTGGCCGAGTTCATTGAGGGTGCTGGGCGTCTGCGTGGGACCGCCAAGGCCTCCCTCCACTTTTTGCTTTAGACTTGATGAATGTGGTGATGAGCTCGGGCTGGGTGTTCTAAGCGCTTCTGCTTCGCGAAGGTTCTGCACATTCCGCAGAAACTCTGAGGCTTTGGACATTTGGCGCATGGAAACGAAGATTGAGGCGCCAGGGGCCAGGGCTTGAAATGGCCGAGTTGGAGTCACAGGCAGCGAATAATAAATGAGCTCGAATGTCTTCTCAAAGCCTGTTCATACATCAAGCAGCGAATCTACCTAGACCCTTGCATCCTGCTGCCTTGAGCCCTTGTGTGCACTTATACCGTAATCCACATACCGTTAAAATTTCGCAGCACTGCGCAGCTTGCAGAGTTTGGCTTCACCTCTTCTCACTGCTCGCGCGCACAGGTGCTTTTCGAAGAGGTGTTGAAGATGCTGTCCACGCAGCTTGAGTGGACACCGTTTCATCTCAGGTGCTGCTCGTTGAGGGGGCAAGGAAACTTCTTCGGGGATCATCCGGCTTTGGGATATGGGGATAGCATTTGATTGTCTCAGCAGCTTTATAGCTCTTCAGAAGTTCAGACAGTGTTCAGGTCCTTGGCACGCATGGGTTGGATGAGAGTCTTGGTTAGCCAAAGAACCGAGAAAAAAGTACTTGCCCTGAACGCTTCAGCAATCAAGTCGCCAAGTCTTCTTGCAAGCAACCAACGACTGGCGAGTCTCGCCGTCTTGGGACGCAGCAGGCCAGAAAAGGCAGGGTAGGGCTATGACCAGATCTTTGCTTCCTACAACCCAGCTTCAAACTCCGAGGCATGGAGACGTAACGTCCCTGCGCGACTTGGTGGAAACCCAAGGCAGGCTACTGGGCCTACCCAGGTCTTCATAAAGACTTGGTGCAATACCTCAGACATCAGAGGTCTGTCAGCACTTTAGTCCATGACCCCACAGCACTAGCTTCGGCTGAACAAAGTCGTGCGGAATTGGACTTTTCTGTCGCTTGGGGCAGAATTTCGATGTGTCAGGAGTGCGGGCAAGGATCTCTGATCCAGTACGTAACAAAGACTTGAAATCTCAGATAAGCGCGGCCGGTTTGTGCAGAGTCGAGGATCGAATCAAGGCAAGGTCAGGCGACAAAGGCAAGGTGAACTCCCTGCCAAATTCGGCTTTTGGGCTTGTCCTTAGCGCAGATTGTGAGGCCCGGCCTTGAAATACAACAGCAGCGGCGGTCATTATGATGTCATGATGGGCAGTTTTGGGCACTATAGTGTCGCTGAGCCCATATGGGTCCTTCAAGGAACCAGGGGCGTCATCGTGTTGTTGTGTTCCTGAAGGAGTCTTGGTAGCTCGTACCCGGAGTGCTCCCTGAGCCGTCTGTCTCTTTGCAGTTTCGAGCCCGATGGAGAAGGTGACCAGTGTGGTCCAGGACTTCCCCGTGAACTGCTCTCTGCACAGGTTCAAGGGCCGGAGGGAGATCAGGGAGCGAAGGTACCAAGAACATATGTGGATATGAGGCCATCGCAGTCTGAAGCTCTGACAGTTTAGCTGGAAAGTCAAAGCTCTGCCGGGATTTCGGATTCCGACAGACTCCTCCTTTGCATCCGCTGCCTTGCATCTAGCTTCACCACACACACACACAAGCATCACTCTATCCACTGGAGGACGTTTTCAACAACTCCGCCTTCAAGCACATCCGGACCACCAAGACAAGGGAGGACTTGGGCAAGAGTGATCCGGATATGGAGATTTAACCATGCCGAACTGTGGAGGTATGTTTTTGCGACTATTCCAAAGGGGTATGTCGGAAGAATGGTCGTCATGTTGACAAAACCCCTTCAAGTCTCTTGCATTCTCTTCTGACAGACCGCGGGAACACGGACAGGCCTTGAGCCACAATTGACTTGAATTTTCGGCTGCTGTTGGGACTGTTGATCTGCCCTCAACTTCTGGGCGCTGAGGACGCTGGAGTGTTCTGGCTCACGGACCAACACATCCCCCCCAAACTGCAGCCCAAACCGAAATTTGCATCATGTCATGTCGAAGTGGTCTGCCGCTTTCCGGGCATGGGGCCGCATGGGGGCCGCCTTGCTACAAGGGCTCCAATGTCAAACGAGAGTGTGTAAAAGCAAGAGCGGAAGAGCAGGCCGACATGTTGCATGTTGCTGCTTCGACACTGGTACGCAGTGTCAGCTGTGTTTAGTATTGTGTACAGACTACATCGGATCCGAGCGGAATGCCAAGCAGGCTCGGCTGCTTCTCAAGCAGCTCCCACGACAATCATCGAAGATGATTGTGGAGCATGCGGGAAGAGACCCCTGACTCCTAGGCAACGAGTCGCGTGGCCAAAGCTCTGCAGCCCTGCCTTGACTTGTTTTGGGGTGTCTTTGAGTGGTTGTGGCCACACAGTCAACATCACTGGGTTAAATGTGGAACCAGACGTATCAGCTTGTCAAACTACCTGTAGGGTCAAGCGCAGAACGACCTCAGGCCATGCTTCGCACACAGCACTTGCAGGAAGCGGAGCGCCGCTTCCGGGAGATAGCTGAGGCTTACGAGGCCCTTTTGCCTGGACATGTTTTTTTTTTCAGACCTCTCTTCGATGTAGCTCGAGCTCGCACTTTTTATGGTGATTCCGTCCTGTCACATCGAGGGTGCTGACCCAGAAAAGTGTGGGCCGATTGCTTCAGCTTTTGGAAGGCACGTCGCCGAATGGAACATGAAACCTTTGGATGTATGCACGCTACGCCATGCTACGCCATGCTACGCCATGCTACGCAATGCTACGCAATGCTACGCAATGCTACGCAATGCTACGCCACTACGCCCTTGCAGCTGGGGCACGCAACACAAAGCCTTGGCCCGGCCCGAGCTCTGCTCCGCCTTGAAAGCCATTCCTGCAGGCGAAGGTAGACCCTGCAAGGCACCTTACGAAGCAAGGGCAGCTTCTGACTGGCTAGAGGCTCGTAAGATACCATCAGGACAGAACAGATCAATGTCAGTTCGCCACCTCACGCTGCTTCTTACTTGACTCATGGAAACAGACGCTTCGGAAGCTCTTGTTCGCCCTTTTTCGTCTGATGCTATGTCGAAACCGGAAACAGCGCTTCGACCTCTGCCTTCAGCCTTCATGATGCCGACCTCACCGACCTGAGTTTTACAGATCCGAAACCTCTGCTGTCAGGTCTTATCCGATCCGGAGAGGCGGAGGACAGGGCAGCAGAAAGGCAGTTCTGTGTTGCTCGTGGCCTTGAATTTGCACTTTGCGGTGTCTGCGTTTCGCTTTACGTCGTGGTTCCTTAGGTCCTTCTGTAACTTGAAACGGAGTGTACAGGCAGAAGGGTTCTTGGAGGAACGGTGCTGAAGCCCACGGTCAGGACGTACGACGCTGGCGGCGATGATGCCGGCGGCATGAACTTCGACTTCGGAGGGTTTCCCGCTGCAGTTACCTTCTGAAGCCTGTCCAGGGAGGGTGTCTGCGCCATCAAGATGGCCCATGCTTCAATGCTGAATGTGCACCTAATGCCTATCCCGTTCATGTAATTCGGCTTCCCACGGGTGTGCGGAAGCGCACAAGCCTCGCATTTGGGGAGGTTCGATTTCGGCTTCAAGGATCCCAAGGACCCTCGACCGGATGATTCAACTGCTGAAAGCCGCCAGATTCATGCAGCATGTCGGGTTCGATGGAGAGAATTCCGTAAGTCTCGAGTCCATGCTTCCAGTTGTTTGGCTGTCACATTGAGAGCATGGTGAAACTCAATCTGGTTTTCTAGTGGTGCCGGATGGTTTCTCTGACGGTTTTTGACTGGCTTGGCAATGGGTTCTTCGCAGTTTTTCATTTGCGAGTGGAGCAGAAATGCAAGGCGGCAGGAAGACTGGCTCAAGGCCGTGTGCTTGCAAGCCCAAGCAGAGGTTTTTAAGCTTGACGTCCTCCAGTGTGACATGTCGTCGAGTCGTGTGATCCGTGATCTTTGCTTGCTTGTGCGCCTGTCGATCAAGATTTCACGAAGCCTCCTGTGCGGGTGAGGATCTCTTCAAGGAGATGTTCGGCAGTGAGGACCCGTTTGCAGACTTCCACAAGTTCTTCGACGATGCCCTTTCCTGAGACTGAGAGCCGAACCACCGTGAAAGAAATGTCGCGATTGTCTGTGTCGCCATACATTTCGCGACACAGCTTGTGCTCTAGCGAAAAATTTGAGCAGTGCTCTAATGTGCAAGCTGCTGATCACTTGCGACAAGTTGCTGGACAGGCGAGCACACCCTTAAGGCTTTCGCATCAGCACATGCACAAGAAGCAGGCTGCATGTATATCGTCTGAACGAGCTGGGCTTTTGCCGTGAGGAGGCGTAGGTAGCTGCAGAGAACCAGAGCTGACAAGAACCCTTCTTAGCTTTCTGAAGAACGAGACGCAACAGCTCAAGTCGGAGGGAGTCTGAAAGCTTCGAGAGAGGCTTCCGGAGAGAGCGGAGCTGAGGTGCAGACGACCTTTGAAGACCTCGGAGATCCCTTCGAGAAGGTGCCAGGGCCAGGGGCCGGTGGCTCCCTACGCCGAAGAGAAGAAACACTCTGCCATGGATCTCTGGCTCAAAACATCCTCACGACCTTACAAGATGGAAAAAGACCACACAGAAGTGTCAGGGAGTCTATGCCCGAAAAGGAGTAAGAGTTAGGAAAGTAGCCGCCTATTCGAAAATGGATAGACCCCTATCTG